CTTCAAATGAAGATAAAACGGGTAAGGCAAGTCAAGATGTTAAACTTTATCGGCTGCAAATCACCATTCAAGTTAATTAAGCATCAATAATGAATTATATGGTGTCATGACATAACGTTATGTAATATAATTAACAGTATGATGTGACTGATGCCACCAAACTGTCTTGTAGCCCCTCAGAGTCAAACACAAGATCCAGTAGGCCTAATAAGCACCAGGCAGAAGCCCACAATTCCAGAGCGGGCATGTACAGGTAGGATTACTTATTGAGTCAGTGAACTGAATATTATTAAAATTTATATGATGAAAACTATCCTGGCTCTATATGAAAGTGTTCTAAAATGCTAGATGAATCAGCATTGATCAGAAAGCGTGTAAAAAAGGAAAATGAATGCTGAATTGTGACAATTTTCACACAATGTAGTGTCAGAAGAAGAGCCAGGAGCCAGCAGTGAGGGTATTGCTCCTGTTGGGATAGAAGGTGAGCCAACTCATGTGCAAACAAGCAAACATTAGTTTCATTATAATAATTTTAATGTCCAAATAATAGTAGTGACCTGTTGTATTTTTATTAGTAAATGCACAAAGCCCACAACAGATCGCTATTAGAATGAAAGTAAAATGAAATAAGCCTGCATATTTTGCCATAGAAAATATTTTAATTGGTTACAAAAAATGTGTTTTCCATATCAAATGTGCTAAAGCTTTACAGATGATTATTTTAATTGTGTGCAGGTGAGTATAGGGAAACTGGAAAAAGTGTGAAAGGGAGTGCTGAGTCATTTCATTTTAAAGGTTTGAAAATCTCAGAACAGCTGTTTGAACAGAAGGTAGATTGTTATATTGTTAGAGAATGTGTTGTAAAGAACAATGTTGGAGATGTGCACTGATGTTCAAATAAACCTACATTGTAAAGCAACTCTTTCTTGCACTGAATTACAAGGCTTTACCGAGTAGTGTGCTTTTGTAGACTATACATATAAAGTTCTAACATGATTTTAATAATAATTCATTAAGTGGGCCGGTCTGGGGTCTGAAACTCCAGGGCTGAAAATGTGTCCCACTCCGGCCCTGTGTGGCATGACAGTGTGTGAAGACAGCATGTTTCTCACATTTGTTGCATGAGAGCTGGCAGCTCTGTCTTTCAATTAAGCTTTTATTTTAAATAATTAAAAGTCAACTAATCTACCATTAGAGCTTTGCAGAAAATCACTTTAAATGGTTTTAACTTTCATTTATTTCAACCCATATATTTCAATGGTTCAGCAGAGAAAATCATATTAGTGGTGCAATTTTTAATGTGGGCTAAATGTTGTCAAACATTAGAAGCTGCATCAGGCTTTTAGCTGCAAACATCACGATGATCCTGAAGCTCCTCCAAGTCGATGAGGTGATTTTCTTCACTTCCTTTTTAACGTGCACCCAAAACTGAACTGGTCACCCAAAACTCAACATGACTTATCCCCTTTCACCACCACATGTCACTTCTGCACACATGGCTCCCTTCACATGTCAAACATTCCTAGCTAACGACTCGCTAGAGGTTAGCAGCAGTCAGAGAGCCAATGTGTTTTCCATTTGCAAAGGAGGGAAGTTAGAGACTGATACTGGATACCGGGACCGTTTTACATCGTGCTTGTGCCATTTCTGATCTGAACAAGAAGAGGCAGATCAAACTGGAGAGAGCAGGCCTGCCGGTCAAAGACTTGCATCAGATTTTATTGGATTGTGAACTAGTAGATCCGGTATGAAGAGTTTAATTCATGATATTTTTCTAGCATTTGGATTGATTTCTGTATTATCATTATCGATCTGTGAACACTGTTGCTTCACATAGTTTGTTTCTATGGTGTGGGATGAACTGGTCCAGTAAAGGATCATTTGTACACATGTATCACAATCACAAATGTTTCAGATGTTTTGTCAGCCTTGGTGGGTCATCTGTTCTGGTGCTTCACTAATCCATCACCCCATTTTGAAACTTGTGACATTCTCACCATGGAAAGTTCACTGACAGACAATAATGAAACCAGCATGGGTCATTTCATGCACCATTAAATCTCCTAATCATTCAGCAGGCTGTGTTGGCAGAATATTATGTTTGTGATGTTGTGCTATCTAATACTGTCTATGATATTTTAACCTTGTTTTGGTTAGCTTGTCCAAGAGGTGAGAAAAATGTCGTTCAGTGTTAAAATGAAAAGTACCGCATAAGGGTGAAACTAGAAATATTAGAATATGGTGCAAAAGTCAAATTTTCTTTAAATATATATCTTGGATTGAAAGACAATTTAAAGGCTCAGGAACCCTTTGTAGGTGTTTTGGATTGATTAACTGATTAGAGTCCTGGAATGTTCAACCTTTTCCTAATATTCTAATACATGAGTTTATCTGATATATTCGTTTCACCTTTTGAGTAGATCTTCTGCTTATCCGGGGTTGGGTAGCGGGAGCAGCAGACAAAGCAGAGAGGCCCAGGCTTCCCTCTCCCCAGCTACTTGGGCCAGCTCCTCTTATGAAATCCCAAGGCGTTCCCTGGCCAGCTGTGAGACATAATCCCTCCAGCATGTCCTGGGTCTCCCTTTAGGTCTTCTCCCAGTTGAACATGCCTGGAAAACCTCACCAGGGAGGCGTCCAAGAGGCATCCTAATCAGATGCCAGAGCCACCTCATCTGGCTCCTCTCAATGTGAAGGAGCAGCAGGTCTACTCCAAACCCCTCCCAGATGACAAAGCTTCTCACCCTACCTCTAAGGAAGAGCCCAGCCATTCTGCGGAGATAACTCATTTTGGCCGCTTGTATCCGTCACCACCCAAAGCTCATGACCGTAGATGAGGGTAGGAACGTAGATCGACCGGTACATCAAGAGCTTCATCCGTATCACGGCAAACACAGCACCAGTCTATTGATCCCACACACCATTTTGCCCTCACAAGACCCTGAGATACTTGAACTCCTCCACTTGGGGTAGGACCTCATCTCTGACCTAAAGAAGGCATTCTCCCCTTTTCTGACTCAAACCATGGTCTCAGATTTAGAGGAGCTGACTCTCATCCCAGCTGCTTCGCACTCGGTTGCAAACCGCTCCACATAACAGTAATCTAGTAGAATTATCAGCCACTTTCAAAAGATACACCATGGCGGCAAATCAGGGTAATACTGCCACCATGGTGTGTCTTTAGAAATAGAATAGAATAGAATAGACTTTATTGATCCCACAAACAGGGAAATTCACCTGTTACAGCAGAACCAACACTTAAAGAGAAGTGGGGGTTGGTTCGCTGGAGTTTTTGACAATTGAAATTGCACCCACATTTTTCAAAGTTAAAGCTTCCTTCCGGAGTATTTCTCTTATCCATCTAGTGGCTGACAAGCGTAACACACAAAAACACTGTTCCTCTATTTTTTAAGACGGCAACTTCACGTTCCTGTTTATAAATGTGCTTCTGTAGCCGACAAACAGAGCTAAAACACATTGTTTTACGAGTAATATTCTCATGCCATGTTGTGTTTTCATATATTTATATTTTAGAGACTTTCTTGTCTGTGAAAAGTTCATCAACTCTGCATCAGCCGAGGTATTCCTTAAATTTGAAGCGTCTAAGCGGCAGTCTAACGCTGTTGGTTAGTTCTGGTTGGCGCTCAGTTTCCTACTGCACAGAGCTCTGCCGGGCAGGGGGCGTGCTTAGCAAAAAAACAAAAAGACGTATTGTTTATATTATATCACAATACATGATAAGATAATCACTTTTACGGATTTCTGACAAATCATACATAAATTCTGAAGGAGAAAACTCCGGAAAGCAGCTTTAAACACATCTCTTTTAACAACGGTAGTTTCTGCATCTTTACTGTTCCCCTGCTTCAGCCCTCTCCCCACTCCCCCTGCGCAGCGGCCGCAAACTCACTGATGCGCCTGCAGCCTCTCAGAGTTGCTGCTCTAAACATTAAAATAATTATTTCATTTTCTGATCCTCACTTCTGATTACCTTCAATGGTGTCTGTTTGTTGCAAACACCAGATACAAAAACGAACTTGTTTTTATTTGACTATTTTTCTGTCCTTTCTCTGTTTATTATCTTCCTGCATCTCCTCTCAGTCTTAAAGAGAAACTGCTACCTGGCAAAATAGGTGATACGCTCTGCTCCACAGCAGCAAAATACATCAGGAACAAATAAAAAACAGAAAACATAAAAGGAAATGAGCCGACAGAAACGATCCCGTGTTAAATTTGTTTTTGAGGTGGCGACACCTAATTTGATAATGTTACTGTGGCCATGCTCAGGACGCAGATGTCTGGAGCGCGTCAGTGATCAGAGCTTGCATGAGCAAGCTGGTTAAAGTTAGGATGGGGGTGAGCGAAAGGTTAAACTGCAAGAGGGTAAAGGTCACAATTTGGTCAAATGTCTGTTTTACCGCGGGCGTCAGATACCAACGCTCTGGCACAGCACGTCGCCTCCCGACGCGCAGGGGCTCGTCACCTGCTGTCTTTTCTGAGGACTGCATCTTGTCGGTCATTATCACGTGACAGCGACTAGTCTATGAAAGGCATTAAAAGTCACTACAGAGCAGTGAAGTCGACTAGTCGACTAGCTGATACAACCCCGACCCCACACTACCCGTTAATCACTGTGTAATCTTTTGTGAAAAACACATGATCGCGCCACAGGCTGACCACTTATGAATGACCAAAGGCTCTCTGATGCTGCCTCTGTTTGGTGGAAAAGTGGCACTATTCATTTGTTGAAACAGGCTACTGAAATAAATGAACTTTTGCGTGATAATTTTTCGACTTTCTTCTGTAAATGCACTAAATGGAATCCCAGGCACAGAACATTTAAAAAATTGCCTACTTGACTAAATGTAACCATTTCATAAACCTGTTCTACAGTGTATTCACGTGATCATCTATCGTCCTATTAATGGTTATTGATCATGGAGAGCTTTTAACCAAATATGAACATTTGCATTTGTGTAATGTGAATAAAAACAGAGAATGAGTCAACTGAAGAGCTTTATTTACTGCTGTAGGAAGTTCACATTAAGTATAGAACAGTATATATGTTAGTCTACATGAACATTCAGTGTTGTTTAAATCTCTACAAGTACATCCCAGTGCATCAGTCCTGTGACCACTAACTTAGATATAGGGAGTTTACTATAGATTCACCTCCTTGTCCCCTTCCGTTGCTTTAATCCCATTTTACAAGAAAACTCAGAACATGGTCGCTGAAGTACATTACAACTTTTCACCTTCAACTGGGTTATTTGTTCAAAGTGTTATTTTTGTCTGTACACAGACTCAAATAATCTGCCCATAGCAAAAGTTTAGTTGTAGCATCAGAAAAGCAAAATAAAATGGGATTGAAAGTTTAAACTTTGAAACAAAACTATTTTTCTGTATTTAAAACTAAAAATGAGATGAGAAAAGTCTCACGTTCTGAGTCTCTCGGGTCGAAGTGATGAATTATTTAAAGTCGTAAACGATGCTGGTGAAAAACTGAAGTCAATCAGGAAACAGGGAAGCTACTTTAACCTATAATGACCTAAACAGCAACAGTGTTTTTGAACATGGTCAGATGCTACAGCTAATGATAGCAATCACAAAAATAAATACTGCTGCTAAATTAGTTCAACTGTGGATGTTTTCAGATATTTGGACAGCCAAGTACACAACAAGATGCTTTAGCTTGGAAGAAAAACCAGAGGGGCTGTTACACATTATGGGAAAAGGGACCCATCTTCTTACATTAATAACATTGTAATTGGTAATGTTCTGAAATTGACATCTCATTTTTGTTTTTGGAAACTTTCATGAATGTTACTAACAGCTAGTGCAGAGATGGTGCTTGTTTCGACTCTTGAACGCCACTGTACGTAGGTCCAAAATGTTTGTCTTGTTTTAATATTTTTATAGTAAAAAAAAATACTCAGATCACAGTGATTCCCAGTAAAGATTATATGTCTGCTAATGGTTAAAGCCTGACAGGTCATTTCTATTCACAAGTAAAACTAAACACTTTCTGCTTCATACATTTCTCAAAACTACTTTCAGGTTGGTCTTCTTAATGGCACTCAGCTAAACCAGATAGAGGGTATTTTGTGAATTTCCTCAGTGTGGCACAAAATTCTCTTCCCAGCAATTTTTTTTTACATTAAAGTAGGATAGCAGTGATAGAGTTACAGAGCCCTGTTTACATATTTACTATACAGTGGTTCCTTAGGCTTTAACGAAAATAAAATATGTAAAAGGACTAATTATTTACATGTAAATTAATGTTTTTAAAGAAGACATACTCACAAATACACTAAAAATACACAAAACAAATGCACAACATTAGAATACACCTGAAATCATTCCCAGGCACTTGTGATGCGAAAAAGTTTTTAAAATGAACTGGTTACACATGTAAGTACAGAAAGAAATGTAATACCATTGAAATATGTTGTTTAGAAGTTATAATACAACAGTGATCAGAGAGTAGTAAGAATACCTTCATGTATAGTAACACTAAAGCACTAGGGTTAGTGACAGTCTGTGCTTCTTGTCTGGGTTTAACTCAGTTAGCCCAAATGTTTCATCCTTCAAATATTGTCCGTGCTACGGACACAAAGTAGGTCCAAATTCTTTTGTAAAGAACAAAAAATTAAGAAAGATAGAATGTTGAAATTCCACTGATGTTTTACACAACATTTACCAAACATCTCTCCCCCTGCCTGTTCTTTATTCAGTTCTTCTGTACGAAGTAGGGATGCACCGATACCAGGATTGGGTATTTTTCTGACACCGTTTTTTGGTGCATTCATATTCGTAAAAGCATTCCAATACCAAATCTAATTTATTTATAAAGCACTAATAAAAAAACAACATGTACCAAAGTGCTGTACAATAGAAATATACATAAAAAAGATACGAAGATATCGATACCACTTTACATGCTGTTCGCCTCTCAGCTGAGCATCCAGGTGGTTAGAGGAAGCAAGTTATGGTGTTCAGATGAAGAGCTAGCAGCCCACAGTATGCAAAACATCCTGGATTCAAATTTGTTCATTTTCTTTAGGTTTTAAAAAAGAACAAACTCCACCTGAGAAAAGTGAAGCTAAGCAAGAGCAACAAAACCTGCAGTTTCCCCCTCATCCACTACGGGCTGGCTCCAGAAAGAAGCAAGTTTCTGTTTTTGTATTTAGCTTTTGTCCAAAGCAACTTACAGCTGATAATCAAGCCAGCAGGTTGCCCTTGAGGAACGTAACATCCAAGTTGTGCATGGATGTTTTCAAGCTGCTTCTGTGTTGGATGAAAGCAGCTACAATGCGGTGCGTGTGGATTGAGAAGTGCTTGTGAAGAAGATGGGGCAACGTTGTTTATCCAGACCTGCTTTGGGTTTAAGAAATCTGATGTTGAGCAGAAAATCTTCCTCAGTAACATATTCTGGTCGGATCTGCGTTATTAGCTTGTTAACACTAATTACCTTAAATGCAGTTCATTTCACACGATTAACACACAGTCATCTCCTGTGATTTAGTTAGAACAAGTTTTGCAGTTTCAGCTGTTTTTCCCATTTATTAACAAAGCACAAGTCTAAAGCTGCACATCTCTCTCCGTGCTGGTCTGGGCATTGCTTAATAAAAGGCAAAGAAATTGGAAACCTCTCTGATCTTACCTCACTGTTCTCAACAAAAACGCAGCAAAGCATCATTTTTTTCCACTGTGATTCACTGCTGAAGCAACTTAACTTATATGAGCAAAAGTCAACGATGAAACCCGAATCAGAAAGCACGAAGAAGTGCTATTTCTGTTTTAAATTTATCATTTCAGTTCAAACTATTCAGAATTTTGTCTTTTCATCAAATTTATTTTGTATTTGATTTAAAATCTCTTATTTTTTATTCATTTAATGAGAAAGTTTGTGTTGCATAGAAAGAATCATAAAATAAAATTGTTTAAGATGTTTAGCATTTTTTTAATATGTTTAAATGTTCTATGGTATTTAGTAGAAGTATTTGTTCCGGTGTCATTTTGACACGTATAAACAGAGGAAAAGGATATATTGCAATTTTTTTTACCGCATATGCTTCAACAAATATCATGATATAGACATAGGCCACATCGCCCATTCCTAATTGAAATCATGAATACTTGACTGACAGGAAGTAGATTAGCCATCAGCACTAGCGGCTTGCCCTCTGCATGCTCCAGGGAAGGCCTCCGCCTCACATGAAAGTGTTACAGACTAGAAGGAAGAGAGTAGCAGAGGTACTCAATCACGGTTTTTCTGGCTAATAGGGCCCATTAACCTCTGTTAGCTTTGGTTAACTCATAGCTAAATCGAGTTTAATGGGTGTCCATCATCTTCACCCACCCTCACAGCCCCACTCTTAGCTCTATTTTTGTATTTTTAATGAGTGACAAGACACAGCCAAGATGGCAATAGAGAGAACCACCTACTGGGCTTTAATTCAGCTTTTCAGAAACATGGTGGGTTTGTCCATTAAATATATGGTCAATGGTTTTAACCATCAATTAAAATCCTAAATGCATCATTATTATGAGATTTTTTACTCGAGTATTCTAAATTTTCTGGAGTTACATAATAAATGGCCAAACCTGCACCTACAACTTGAATAAAACGTAGACAAATAATTTTTAATCTACATTGGCTGTTCAAACAAAACAGTCAAATTATCTCATTTATGGGTTTTTTAAATATCAAATAACTAAATGCACGTAGAAGGGAAATGTATATTTGAACACATGGCAATAAGGCGAAGATGTGTTTTTTTTATCATCACCAGTCTATACCTAGAAAAACTATTTAGAATATTTGGTAAAAATAAAAAAAATCTCATTCATTTAAATGGAGAAATGGAACTTAAAACTTCCACTGCAGCCATCCACTAGAGGGTGCTTTGGTACTGTTGTCTCTAATTCAGCTTTACACTGAGTTTTTATATATGATGTCTTCCTGTACTCAGGGAAGTTATTAGCTCAGGACATTATTAAACACTTAAAGGAAATAGTTTAGCCTTAGTTCCACTTTCTAGAGGTCTGGATCAGACATGGGATCGTAGCAGCAGCCTTGATGGTCAGCCTTGAGGAAGCATTTCAAAGTGGAAAGCAAAAGGACTTTCATTAGTACTTATACTCTGTGTGGCAAGTACTTGTAATGTGGTATCAGTGCATCCCAAGCAAGAAGGATTGTCATCCACAGGAATGAACAAAGCATCTAAAATTCCTGAGAAGTTGAGCAAAACACAAATATGAATGTTTTTGTAGCTCTGGGTCCTAAATGTGTGTGTGTGTGTGTGTGTGTGTGTGTGTGTGTGTGTGTGTGTGTGCGTGCGTGCGTGTGTGTGTGTGTGTGAGTGTGTGTGTGTGTGTGTGAAAGCAAAAGAAACATGTTTTTAGACATCAAAGGTAACCGTTGTACATAACATCATTACAAATAACGACAAACATTGTATGGTCCATCACGAGAGTGCCCTATATCATTTATACGGCAGGATCTAAAGTATTCTGTTCCCTCATCGGTGACTAAGAATGAACACATGAGCTCTGTCCTGGTTTAGGTACATCACATACATGCATGGCTACAGAATCTAGGTCTTTACATATCTATGCCTACGCTGTGTGTGTAACTGTTCGCCATCTACATATAGTTTATGTTACAGAGTCCCTACCCTCTACTAGGTATGAAGGAGTCTGTGTGTTCTGCAGCTATGCTGGAGTCATGTTGCCTTGGTCAGTGACCTACAGACCCACACACCACTAACATTCTTCCAGCACTTGCTTGAAAAAGAAAAGTGTCAGCAAAACACACCTAACACGTCTTCATCTAACAAATATTTAAAACAAAAGGATGATCATTGCCTGATTTTGTGTGAAGGAAGAGGTTCGTTTGAAAGGAGTCCACGAGCACGTCCTCAAGGTGTCACATTTGCACAGATCTACAGACTCCAACGTGGGAAGGCCTCATCTGGGAGTGGTAATGGACACAAACCATTTGTCAAGCTAAATTGAAAAAGTACGACGTGGCATCTAAATAATTTCACTTGACAGGTACGGTCCAAGAACACTTCCACTTCTTTAGTAACAGATTTCGAGGGACAAAACTGCAAAGGCCACAGAGACTCCACAGGTTTCGTAATGGAGACAGTAATGACATGAGTGAATTAGAGAGAAAGATCTTCACAGCATCTTCAGTTTACAGCACACCGCTGCTCCATTTGGTTAGTTTATTCAGAGCTACATGTCACAAAGTGGAAAAGCAGAAAATGGAATCATTCTAGGGTTAAGTTAATAGCTTTCCACTTGTTTTATAAGCTGTGTGGATTTAAACACATTAAATCTACAAGCCCATTGTAGCAGTTATCTAAAAGTTATGGCTTATATCCCTTTACTTTACAATGGACTGTTATTTTTTACATTTTCGTCTTGAGTATTTCAGCCATTTAAAGGGCCAGCATTCTGACTAGTGGCTTCATTAAGCAGTTGCAGCATAAATTACATGGAATAACATTAGCCAAGTAGTAATATTATAATATTAAGGTTCAGGTGTTACATTTTTGCTCACAGTACAGCCTTAAAGTCAGACCACAGATGTAGCAGTAGGCTTTGTAGCACCCGGGCTCAGTACCAAGCTCTGGGCCACGTCATCACGGTTGATCTTACGTAGCGCCGTGCACAGTGCATCAATGCTGGCACAGTCCTTGCTCGCCCAGTCAGACAGGAGAGCTCGGACAGGATTGTCCTCCTGCTGGAAGGTTGCAATACGCTCCTCCTCGTACCCAAGGAGGCCTGCAAGGTTGCACCAGTCGCTGTCCTGCAAGTGGCTGGAGTTGTCTACTTCATTTCCCCTGAAAAGCAGCTTCTCTACTTTCTCTCTGGTGTGGAGAGGAAGGAGCAAACATGGCTCTTCATCGATGGTCACAACTGTGGAGGAAAATTCAAGCTGTTTAATTTTATTTGAATAAGTTTTACTGGAAAATTGGTTAAGATTTCTACTCTATATAAAGTCAACAAAGGTAGTAGGAGGGTATGGGAAATTCCCTTTTCTGGTTAACCATTTCTTAAAGATGTTAAACAATAATCTAATCAATAAAATTGCAGTGGTCTCTAGTAGGAATGAATGTCTTGTAAGCACCCAGAAGCGCCTGTATTAGTACGGAGGAGTCTGCTGGAGAAGAGAGTGGCAGAACACGGCAGGATTTTCTGATATTTGGGCATCTTACCTCAGATTGGATAACAGCAATGCAGCAATACCACTGACTCAATTTGCTTTGCAACACTGACGTTTTATCTGCACAAATAATACAAGCCTTGAGGTGCTCCTGCCATGTGGTGGAGATGCTAATGCTAACAGTTAGCTTCTGCAAGCCAAGACATTCTCTGCTGTTTGCTGGAAACTAAACCAACAACAGCCTTAAACGTTCTGAGTCAACACGGGTGAGTCCATGAATGTTAAGTGGCAGTGCGACGTAGATCTGTCAGGATTTTCTAATCCTAGAGTTTCACCGTCTATTTTCTATCAGACGCTAATGCAGCAGAAAGGTGTAGGAGACTATTTTCATGTTCAGACAGAAAATAACTGTGAGTGACTATGGTGGCGCGCTGGAAGTAGACTGCCTGCAGGTGGGCTGCATCAATCATCACACCTCCAACTCTACACGTACAGGTGGCAGCGGAGGAGGAGGAGTTCTGACAAACAGAGAAAGCAGTCAGGAAGAGAGAACGACTCGCATCCGACTGCCTGCGAGTGACAAGCGTTGTAGTTAATAAAAGATTCTCAAAATCATCTGATGGTGTGTGGGTGTGTCTGGCTCTTACCGTAGCGAGGAATCACGTTCCACACCTTTAGAGCAGGGGTACGTAGTAACTTAAAATGCATGTATTAGACCACCTGAACCTGTTTTATGAGTTAAAGTAGAAATCTCCCCTGGCCCCTATAGCAAACTGAATTTACACAAACCAAAAACGTTGACAAGTATAGTTGAGTATAATAATAATAATAATAATAATAATAATAATAATAATAATAATAATAATAATAATAATACATATAATTTGTAATGCACTTTATATTTCAGCAATCTCAAATTGCTACAAAATTGCCAGATTCATAAAAGACCAAAAATACTATTTTAAAAGTTAGTACTTAGAAAAAGGCTTCCTTAAAACAATAAGTTTTACTTTTTATTAGCGCTGCCAAGTATGGTGGGGCACCACCAAAAAGAGACCGGAAGACATAGCAAATAATTTAAAATTTAGCCCGAAAACTTACAGGAAGCCAATGTTATGAGGCCATCACAGGAGTGATGTGTGCCGACTTCCTCGTCCCTGTCAGAAATCTGGCTACAGAGTTATGTACCAAGTGAAGACGTCTCAGTGCTGCCTTATTAAGTCGTTTTCATGACTTGTTCACACTAAATGCTAGCTGTTACCATTCACTTACATTGTTTATGCTAACTCGAGACAGCGTGGGCTTGATTTTGGTTACCCGTCACAGGTTAAAGAAGCAGGCTCGTAAAACCATGTTAATGTGAGCTTCCAATTTGAGTTCTGCATCCAGCCTCACCCCCAGGCTGGTGACAACTGACTTCTGCTAGGGTGAGAGAGCATCTAAATCGGAAGCTGAAAGCCAAAATAAGTACAGAAGGAGCAGACTCCTGTTCTGCCCATTACTTCTAAAATCAACAGTTTCAGCCAAGTGAGATACTGGCTTTCATAAAGAAGTTTCAAAATCACACGATAAGAAGATTTTTCAGGTCTTCAATACAAAAATAAATTCACGATTTTAGTTCATGTAGCTCTCTGTGGAAAAGCTGCAGATGAATCGTGAAAGGCTTTAAGTGACAGGATAGAGCTATCAAACACAAGGCTTTTATTTCTGAGGTTTTCACTTCTGAATATTTTTAAAACATATTTGAATGGACCACTTGCCCCAGGATTTCAGGAAGAATGTGGGAAAATCCCAGGACAATAATCAAAAGCCTGTTAGCTGTCACAAAAACAAGTTAATAGTTGCTAAAAGAGGGCTGTGAAGTACTGAACACACAAAATTGCACTCCAGGCAGCTTCCATTGTTTGTTGTTTTAAAACATGTGCACTAGTAGCCTTACATAAACCTGTGCTAATTTAGTTTTTGCTGATTACAAACATTATTACCACAAGTTCCACAAAATCAGTGATAACATCACCAATCCAGTAGGCTGATTTAAAGGTCACATAATGACTGCTTTGCACTAGTTTACTTCCTTTATTATTTTATGAGGAGTTGTGGTTTGAAAAGACCTAAAACTGGTTTGATAGGATATTACGTAAACCCAGCTGGAGCACGCACTGTCATGACAAACAAACTCTTTAAGCCCTGTCAGCTTTGTAATCTTTGTTTGTTGATTTGCTACAGTAAGTTTCAACGGTTACAGTCTAGGTGGAGTCAATGGAGCAATCAGATGGTTCACCCCTGAGGGCGAATTCTTCTCATTCAAACCCATGTGGTGGGCTCACTTACATTCACGGAAAAAAAGGTCTCCTCTGAAGGATTTAGCAGATGATAAATAATGACTTTTGTGCTGGAAGCTCTTGGTATTATGGGAGTTAGTATGGGCGGTTGTGGGTATACCTGTTTGTGACTGAGTCTGGCCCTGCTGCTCCTGCAGACTTTGGCTGTCCACAGAAATGCCGCTGTCGCTGTGCAACTTCTCACCCTCATGTGACAGAGTCTGGTTCTGGTTGGCCGTGCAGTTGTTGGCTCCTTGTTTGTTCTGTTTACAGCTGTTCCACCTGAATAAAAACAATACATTATTTTAAATTCATCTTCATTTACCAAGGGTAACTTTAATTTGTTCCTTTTATAGGTGAGGTTTTTCACTATACACTAGGGGTGTAGCGGTTCACGGGGGAGTATTGAACCGTTTCGGTTCAGCCTGTTCGGTTCGGTCCACTTGCGTACCGTTTCGGTTCATTTTCCATTAAATAATGAATTTTTATTTGCGTGATTTAAGTGCAGCTGATAAAAGTTGGGTAGAGATTATTCTCTTGTTTTAATTTCAGATCTAGAAAACTACTTTAATTGAGGTTAGGTGTGTTGTTGTAAGCATGTGTAACTTTAATAATGTTGTTAAAATTCACCCTTAGGTTCTAAAGCTGTACTCCCTCTTTAAAGGGAAGTTTAGTCAGCTGCCATATTTCCCTGAGTTAGATAAGTGGAAAAAAGCTCTGTGAAACCAGCCCAGTCATTCTCCTAATCTGACAGTATTGCGTTAGCTTTGGCTTAGCATTAACAATGTAAGTGAATGGTAACAGCTAGCATTTCATGTGAAAAAGTCACACATTTCTCAATAATGATCCTAATTTTTATCGGTTATTTCAATAATAATATTAACTCCAAATGAAAGTAATAGGCAACATGAAGGAATTACAGTACAAGAGCAGATTTAGACTTGGGACTACGTTGTGAAAAAGGTCCAGTGTAAGCCGCCACTGAAAGGTGCAAAAACATCATGCAGCAACCCCGAAAACACACCTGCTTCATCTGTCATGTAGTCTGCCATTTTTTGTTACTAGGCTGTTCCTTCAAAAATACTGTATGAGACTAGCCACGCATTTTTGTTCACAGGATTAGGTAGGTGTCTTTCGGTGCCGTTATGTCATGTCCTTTCAGCGGCGCCTTGTCGTAATGTCTAAATTGTCTAAATTGTCTAAATTCTAAATTTAAAGTCTAAAGTCTAAATTGTCTCCTGTATTTCCTCAGTCTGCCTTACTACTTATACTTATGATTAATGAGGTCACCATGAAACATTAGGTTCATTATTAAGTCATTTTCATGACATTTTCACATTAAATGCTAGCTGTTACCATTCACTTACACTGTTTATGCTAACAAACATTACCAATATCAATATAATATAATCGTGATTAAATTAGTCATTTACACCCCTAATGCTTACTAGGTCACTGGCAAACACACAGAGGTGATTGTAATTAGTAAGTTTCACCTTCCATTCAGTGTGAAACCTGTGGCTAGGAGTGAGCTGTCTTCAGAGTCTTGATGTTAAGGAGGTGTTTAGACAGCTGTTGAGCCATATAGATCACATATGATGAGGACAGCACATTAGGAAATGGAAAATATTTATTAAATATCAATTAGTCTCTAACAGCAGCTGAATCCCATTCTCTCTGAGATTATCCTGACAAATGCCCACAACATAGGGCAGATGTCTCCCTTAAAAGTTGTGCTTAACAAACTAAAATATCTCAAATACTTAACCTTGGATCTGTCATATTTTGACATTATGAGTGAAAGGAGAAGTAGCTGCAGAATGTGATGGATAATCTGTGTATGGTATGTAAAGGCTGTGTTATTAAGAGAGTAAAAACAAACACCGATAATTTCCAAAGTTACATTTTAAAGCAGCCGGCCACTAGAAGGCGGGCGATGTCCTTATGCTGATGTCCTGCACTAAAAAGCATTTTTTGGTTAAGTTCAGTCTAATAAATGTTTTTAAAATATTCATAAATATTACATACACATTTTGAATGGTGCAGACAATGAATGTTTTTGAAAGAAATACATGAATCTAAAAGTGGGTATTTTGGTAAAGTAAATCTCCTTATTACAGATACTTTTTTACACGCAGGGATCAGTTAAAAACACGTAGGGCTAAATTCTAAAGTTTTAATCCTGTAACATGATTTTTGTCTACATTTGGTTGCATGTGCAGGAAAGAATAGCAGAATAACTCACAGGGCTTGGTGCTCCATTGAAAATGGATTAAAAAAAGTAAATATTTTTATTGTCCTAGATTTTAATTTGTCTTTAATTATTCATTTTTGATTGCATAAACTGGCCTCACAGAGGTCTAAACATGCTGTCCATGCAATTTTAATGGTAGAAGGAAAAAAGAGCTGTTTGGTAGAACATATGTGATCCAGAAAAGCAGATGGTTGTATTAAAAATGAAAATATGGAAAATATAATCTTTTGTTTTCAGATAAATATTTATGGCTTTTTATATAAAACCAAAATAAGTAATAAATGACCTGCACTTTATAGCAGTTTTCTGAGTCAGAGGATTCCAACAAGCTTTACTCTACAGTCAGTCATTCAACCATTCACAAACTAATTATAAAATATAGTGAAAAAGTTGTACTATAATCACTGCTTTAAGTTGGCCGATACGTATAAAACGCAGTACCGGCACTCCTAACTTTTACCTATCGGCATACTGATGCTTCTTCCTAGGGTAGGTGAGTACCAGTAGAGATTTCTGAAAAATATCTGTCTATCTTTAAATAAACATCAGCCGTCCACGATCCCTCCAGCGCTGACCCCCCACCCGATACGCAGAACACAAACTCCGTGAGGGGCTGCATTTTGCACAAGAGGACACATTTTCTCCAAATGTGCAAAAGCGGTACTACTGCCGTGAGGCACGCAACACACAGCATCCTTAGCCACCGTCAGAACCAGGGCCGGATTATCATTGCAGGGGCCCCTGGGCACAATGGGCCCCTACACCTCCTCTTGTCTCCTTCCTCCTCTTGACTCCTGTCTCCTTACTCCTCTTTTTGTCTCCTCTTGTTGGTCTCATCTCTTGCCTTCAGAAAAACTGCTTTCTGGACTTTCTATTAGTAAATTCATTTACAATGTAATCAAAGTCCAGATTCCTTACAAGCTGAGATTCAATAGCCATCAGTGACAGTGCACTGAGGCGCTGTGAGTTAGTGTTGTTCTCAGTTCATTTTTTATTCTTGCCATTTATGAAAATGATCGTTCCCCATCAAAATTTGTAACTGGTAGCATTAGAAAAATCCGCAGGGCCACAAACACATTAGGGAAGACGGACTGTAGACTATTTTTTAGCCCGAAAATTATCCTAGTACTGCTTATATTAAATTATCTATGTGGACTCTCGGGGGATTATTTTGAGCGGAGAGGGGCAAAGCTCTGATTGTTGATGCGCTCCAGACAGATGCGTCCTGAGCACAGCCGCAGTAACATTATCAAAGTGTCGCCACCTCAAAAACAAATTTAACACGCAATCGTTTGTGTTGGCTAATATCCTTTCATGCTTTCTGTCTTTTATTTGTGCCCGATGCGTTTCGCTGCTGCGGAGTGAGTGCATCACCTGTTTCAGGACAGAAAAATAGTCAAATAAAAAACAAGTTCGTTTTTGTACCTGGTGTTTGCGACAAACAGACACCACTGAAGGTAATCAGAAGTGAGGAACAGAAAATGAAATTAAAGCTGCAAGCAGCGTCGTTCGGCCCTCGCAGCGAAGATGCTCACCCTCCTTCCGCACCCCCTCCGTTCCATCCCCGACGCTCTCCAAACCCAGCTCCCCGCCGCTCCATCCTGTCCGGCAGCCCGGGGCACCAGGGCACGTCCACGGACTGAAACGTCCACCACCCCGACACCAAGAAAAGCTAACAGTCACCTCGTCCACACCTCACCCTGAATCAGCATCCCCTCCGAGCCTACCATTATATTACATGTCTCACCACTAGGGCATACTTTATCTTAAGCACACTGTTGGTGTGATGACACAGACCAACTTTAGTGCTTTTCTGCCCATATTTATTAAAGTTATCGAAAGTTAAAATTATCTAGGGGGCGCTGTGATCAACTACAGAAAAATCCCATTGAGGTCAGCTTTGGTTGACAAAGACAGTTTTCTGTTATTTTGGCATCAAACGGACGTTGTGTGTGTTATCTAAAGCCAGTGAGCTGAAAGGGGCGGAGCTACAGGGATTTGAACCAACAACCACATCAATGTGTTTGGTGCAGTCACGTGATGTCACAAGCCAAGTATAATGCCATTCTGACTTTGACTTTAGAAGTTAATAAAGTTTGAACCCATCTAGGGGGCGTTGTGACCATTTACAAGTAAATGCCATAGAGGTCATCTTTGGTCATCAAAGACGGTTTTCTGTTAATTTGGAATCAATCAAACGTTGCATGGGTCATCTAGAGACAAAAAGCTGTAAGTGGGTGGAGTTAAAGTGAATTGAACAAGTGATCACATACATGTGTTGATTGCAGATGTGTGATGACTCCCACAATGTTTGATGTAGTTTGGAGCTTTTTTGCAGAAGTTACAAAGGTTTTTTGTATCTAGGGGGCGCTGTCCCAAATTTAAGAATTATTCCATGAAGAAGTTTGTAGGTTGATGACAGTCATTTGTGTGCAGTTTGGTGTGAATTGCATCATGCATGTGTTATTCAGGGCCTAATATCTGTCAGGGGGCGGAGCTAAAGCAATATCAACAACTTACCACAGGATTGTGGTGGGTGCCATTGTGTGAGTACACATAGCAAGTTTGGTGCAGTTACGACCTCGTCTGTAGGAGTTATTACAGTTTTAATGGTGTGTAGGGGGCGCTGTGGTGACATTACACAACGTTCACCAACCGTGTGTGCCTCGTTGAATAAAGGGCATGATTGTTGATTGCCATGTTCAGTCTCGGGCAGATCGGAGGTTGTTAGTGGAAGTTACAGTCAAACGTAAGGTCACGGCGTCACGCCAGAATTCGCCGTGGCATCAAAGCCCTTCCCTTTCTGAAAAGGTATCAGATCTGAATGGTCATTACAACATCATGAAGACAGTGCATGACCTTAGTGTCATGTTGACTAAAGTAGAGGGGACAAATATGGGCATTTCACCATAAAAAAATAGACTTCCTGTAGTCAGGGGGCCGGGCATAGGTGATGTCAGCTGTCCACATTGTCATTGTCTTGAGATGTGGTCAATGATCACACAGACAGAGTTTGATATAGATCTGATCATGCACATGGGAGTTGTTAAGTCAAGTAATGTAATGGCGAAAGGTCAAAGTTTGAGGCTTAGCCACGCCCACACCTTTATACTTGTATAAAATCCGACGGTTGAATTTTTTCCTCTATGTCTTAAGATTATATAGCAGGAGTTTGAAGGTGATAGGTGGAAAGGACAACGAGACATCATTCTCCTAATAACGTGTGTGAAAACCACTAAATCGAGTACTTGGACCAAAATGGCCGACTTCCTGTGCGACTTTGCACTTGGCTCAAAGAGACTTTTTTGTAGGTCCTGAGACCCCACATTAGTGTACCAAATTTCGTACTCCTCAGTCAAAGCATGGCTTGGGGCTGACAGTTTTAATGGACCTAGGGGGCGCTATTTCAGAAAATAGGCCATGCCCATTTGATGTTCACGAGAGATCTTTTGGGGGGCCGGACTAGGATCACTCACAAGACGTTTCGTGACTGTATCTATAGAAATGACGACATGGGAGGACAATGTATGGCCACGGCGGTACGCCTGACTTCGCCGCGTCGCCACAGCCCCGCCTTCTGCAGAAAACACCCATAAAGTGACGCCAAGCAACACCAACTTCTCTTCAGTTACCTGCTACAAATTCGGGCTGATTATTCGACAGGGCGAATTTTGGAAAATTTCCCAGTAAAACTTGACGTTTTAAGTCCTGAGGGGGCGGGGCTTGTGTGACATCATCCAGCGACCATTCATTTGTCTTCGGGGGGCGATAACGATTATCCATAGAAAGTTACTTTAACTGTAATTCTTTCATTTATGAAATTATAGCAATTTGAATTTTTTTGGCGAGTGCTCGAACTTTGAGGCCTGGCCCCGCCCCTTCAGTATTTACGAAAAGTCAATTTTATTTTCTCATTTGAATCGTCCATCGCTTCTGTTCGATGGCACACTATTTTTGAGACTATGGTACGAAAAATGACGAAACTGTTCAACCAAATATAGACCCTAGAAATGGCCAAAACGGCTAAAAATCGCCATTTCAACCCAAAATGGCCGACTTCCTGTTTTATATTGACCATGGTTGCAAGAGGCTTTTCTGTGCGGACTGTTGAGTAGTACCAGTATACCAAATTTCATAACTGTACGATAAACTAGGCTTTATGGAGAGGGGTATTTTTCACTCTTTAGGGGGCGCTGTCGAGCCACTTTTTTATCAACTTTCACATCGCCAGTGAAATACGTAAATTTCACGCACTTTCTATATTGGGCCAGAATTTGGTGAGTTTTTGGATATGCTAAGACCCCCTAAAGGCCACCCAAAGACGCGGAAGAAAAAAGAAAGCGTAATAATAATAAACGGAGCAGATACAATAGGCCTTCGCAGCGCTTCGCTGCTCGGGCCTAATGATTCTTTCAATGTTTAGGTCAGCAGGAACTCTGAGAGGCTGCAGGCACATCAGTGAGTTTGAGGCTGTTGTGCTGGGGGAGGGGGGAGAGAGCTGAAGCAGGGGAACAGTAAAGATGCAAAAACTACCATTGTCAAAAGAAATGTGTGTTAACTTAGAAAATGCGGGCGCAGTTTTAATTACTTGTTAACTTTTTTCTCCAACGTTAAGACTGCTGCACAAAAAAAAAAAGACTGCTGCTCGCGTGGGCCCCCTTGTGGCTGTGGGCCCCTGGGCTATTGCCCAGTTTGCCCATATTATAATCCAGCCTTGGTCAGACCAGGAAAAGGAGATCTCAAAAAGAGACGAGTTATCCAACACTGTACATTCCTGCACTGACTAACAGCATGCAGCACCTGACCAACTAGTGGCTAAATGCACCAACAGACAGGTGGATCCATGAAGGTGAAGAGATGGCATCCAAACGTAGACATGAATCGGGAGTAGGCTCAAGAAAGAAAAAGTCAAAACGACAGGAGGAGTGTGTTATTGAAAAAAATAAGAAAAACTTCCCAGCTGCTGCTAATCACGAGATGATGTGGACTAGAGAGTACATTTTACATTAGCTTGATTATCATCTAGTTTTACTAGATGCATAAACTTTCACCTCTGTCTTATATTGTCTTAGGTTTTATACATATACAGTACAGGCCAAAAGTTTGGACACACCTTCTCATTCAATGTGTTTTCTTCATGTTCATGACCATTTACATCGGTAGATTCTCACTGACGGCATCAAAACTCTGAATGAACACGTGGAGTAACCAGAAAAGGTGAAATAACTGAAAACATGTTTTATAGTCCATCTTCTTCAAAAAAGCCTTTGCTCTGATTAATGCTTTGCACACTTAGCATTCTCTTGATGAGCTTCAAGAGAACCTTCAACACTGTTGGAAAACCACTTCAGATGACTACCTTTGCCAAATGATTTCTAGCCATAACAGGGTCCATGCTGAAGTTTGAACCAACCCTAGATAAGTTGCTTCTGCTGAGTGAAGTTTGTCAAACTGAGGCTCATCAATGGGACAAGACCACTTGAGAGGCCTGGGTAAGCTCAGCTCAGAAGTAGCACAGCATAAGACGATGATCGTCAGCAAAAGGCTTCTGCCATTGTTGAAATAGGTTATTCATTTGATCTGTGCCTACTAAGTTGTAAACCTAAATGTCATTAATGATATGCTTGTGAATGGGGAGGGCCACAAAATACACCCCGTACCCCCACCCACAATATTTTTCTAGTTTTTTTTTTCAACTGCAAGAACTGACTATAATAGATATGCATTCATGTTCAAATTTGACTAAAATGTCAGTTTCTGGCTCAGTAGATCCAATGATATTAAATGTCTCTTCGAGATAATACAAGATTAAAAATCCTACTTAAAATTGATCGTGTGCTCTCGAGGAACAATCCAGCCCACTCACTTCTTGAAGATTATGAAGGCCACCAGACCGACAACAACAGCTGCCAGGATGGAGCAGTAGATCGGGATGAGTTTATCGTTCAGGCCCTGGTAGAGTCGCTCCTGGGTGTCCCCATTAGTGGTGGAGGTTGTGCTCTCTGTGGGGCCCTTTGGTGGGGGGGAGACATCATCGGGGGTCGGTGAAAAATCATCAAGTGGAGGCAATGATGAGGGGGCTGTAAAACAGAATGGGGTTGTGAAGATATTTTTATTTTGAGCTGGCAGTTCAATTTATAATCTGGATATTCCCAGTTCATCATGTAAGGTGCTCCTTAGTTTTTATTTATTTATTTTTTATGTTAAAATTTTCTCTCATCCAGCAAGGATGTTAGCAGCTCAGTAGCTTGGCCTAGCGTTGTTCTACGGTTAGCATTACCAGGGTTTATACACTGAAGAAGAAACAACTCTTTTATATTTTTATTGCCGGCACTGAAGTGGGTTGAAACATGCAGATGTAAGGAGGTGTGGCTTGTTTGTAATGAAATAAAATAGTATTTCTCAGAACCAATCATCTCACTTGCCTGTTCAAGACATAGAAAGCAGGTCTAAAGCCTACCAAAGAGTAATCTTGCCTTGGACACCAAATCACCTTTCTCAGTGGCTTAGTGGTAAAGTGTGCGCCCTGAAACTGGGAGATCAGGGGTTCGATTCCTGGTTGGGTCATTCCAAAGACTTTGAAAAAATGGGACCCAATACCTCCCTGCTTGACACTCAGCATTAAGGGGTTGGATTGGGGAGTTAAACCACCAAATAGTTCCCGAGTGCGGCTTGTCTGCAGCTCACCGCTCCCTCAGGGGATGGGTCAAATGCAGAGAATAAATTTCGCACACACACCTGTGTGTGTGACAACTAACGGGACTTTAACTTTAACTTTTAAATTGGGTAGCGCCGGCCCTGCCTGGTGCACTTGTTTCAGTATCTAGAACATTACCAGATCAGAGCAGAGCTTCAGACAGCAGGATTTGGAGTTTTACTTCCTGATATTTGGACATCTCATCTCTGATTGGCTAACAGCAATGTGACTCTACCACTAACTCTGTTTACTTTGCAACATTGATGTTTTATCTCCACAAATAACACCAGCCTGGAGGAGTTCTGCCATGTGGTGGAACTGCCTATGCTAACAGTTAGCTCCTACTAGGTTGTGAAGTTCTCAGCTGTTTCCTGGACGTTTAAACAACAGTCTTCCCTGTCGTGAGTCAAGATGGGTGGGTGCATGAACGTTAAATGACAGTGTGACGTCAGGCTTTTCAAATCCTAGCGTTTCACCGTCTATTTCCTATCAGAGGCAAATGCAGGAGATAGTGTAGGAGACTATTTTCATGTTCAGTCTGCATGAAAAAAGAGTAACCGATGATAAATAATCATTCAAATGTATTTTCAGCGAACCACTTCTTTTGATTCTACTGCCTTTTTAAAGGAAAACTTCAAAAAACACCTTGAGTGTTTTGTTGGCACTTCCCTGGAGACCACTCAACTTGTCCCATCGAATTTTGGCTTAACACCTAAAAACTGAGTTATGGGCCACTTTTGTGTTGATATTAAGTGGCAATGCACACCCACTCACTCTGAACCTGTCGAATCCGGCCCTTGGCCGCAGGAAGCTAGTGTTCATCTCCATCAGTCAGTATTAGAGAGATGAGACACAAGATGACAGTTTTAGGGGTTTTGTGTTTGTTTTACATTGTTTTAGGTTTCCTCTCTTTTCTGTTCATTTTCTCATATGTTACTCCTGGGTTTCAGGAAACAATTTTTTCTTTGTTTCTAGTTCTTTAGTTCCCCATGTTATTGTTGATTGTTTCTCCACCATTAGGCACCTCTCGTTCATTTGTTGGTCAACACAGCAGCCTTTACTGAGAAATCAGCCTCCCAACTCTTAAATAAACCTCTGATTGTTCAGTCAATTGGCACGTTCTGTTGTTAAAGTGAAAATGCTAAACACCTGCACTGCTATCCAGCAAAACATAAATAAAATGTTGGTGCAAATAAATCATAGAGCTTGGTGACTGCGGTTGCAGCTGCAAGAACCAGATCTTCTGGCCCATTAAACAAACTGAGGACAACCGGAATGTCTGGTTTTGTTTGCAAGATAAAGTGAGCGAGCAAATTTCTTCATCATTAACATTTACACTTTTACACTCGTAGGACACCTGCTTCCACACAGCTGTGCAACCAGGGGGGTAAATGTGAGCTGGTTTGGAGAGAAACGTTGTTGAAAAGTGTTTTTATCTTTGTGTTTTCAGTTCACCAGAAATACAGTTTCACTTTCCAGAAGAAGCAACTACGTCAATTTATTCTTAGATTTTAAAGCTTTACGCTTTGTTAATTAAACTGCAAGTTTAGTTAAAATCCAATGACATGGGATTTGCTACGTTGGCTACTATTAGCATAACTGTCAAATGATCATGTGTTATACAATAATAACAATAATGATAATAACCATCATCAGTTTATTAATGCAGAAAATGTAGTCCGATGACATTATGGATGCCTCTGCTGCATGATTGGCCTAGTGTCCGTTGTCACAAACCCACTCAAAATTTAGGTTTTCATTTATTTCTACAAGAAAATCACAGCTTTTCTGTCAAACATTTGTGTTCACCAAGTTGTAGGTTATTTTTTGCTCACAGACAAGTGATTGAAGTCAGAAGTAAACTCATCCTAACCAAAGATCACATAGATCAACAGATGGGGGTACTACACATTATTTACCATTCTGCCAATCTGGTCTAAGAAAAAGAATCTAAAGTGTGAATAAGGCCACAAATGTGACATGAGACAGACAGATCCTCTCTCTCCAAGCTCATTTTCTCTCACTTTCCACCCATCATTACAAATTTTACCATAAATGCTGCTCCTGCTGAAACACACACACACACACACACACACACACACACACACACACACACACACACACACACACACACACACACACACACACACACACACACACACACACACACACACACACCAGAGCCCACATCATGGTCATCACCCCTCCTCCCAGAGGAACCATTAATGAGGGTAAGAGCAAGTTTGTCCATCCACTTCTACCCACACCGCTCCCACCATTAGCAGACATGTTTGCTCCTCACCACGGATATGGAAACCTATCCTCGCCTGTCACTTACTTACATTTACTCACATCATTAACAGGAAATCAGCTCGTTGGCTTCCAAGGGCTCTAAATACCTCAGGAGAGCTGCTGAGTGGAAATCATCTGTATTTCACCGATGAGGTGAAATGTTTGTTAGATGATGAGCTGAGCTGCTGCATTTTAGGGCTGTGATAAGCGCTTTAAGGCAACGCCAATCAGAAAAATGTCAACTGACGGTGATGCGCCTGTCATGCTCAGCTTTTGTTTTTTTTTTTTTTCACTGTTTGGTCCTGTGACCATGCTGGACTATTGTTGTAAAGTCTATCAGAAAATATGCAACCCTGTAGGCATTTCTGTTTTGATGGACCACTTTTAGTTTTGTTTTCAAGTGTTGTATTCAAAACCATTAAATGTCTGGTTCTTTTTGACACTTTCTTGGCTGTAGTTTCTTAGGTTTTTCCAGGGCCAAGTATATGAAGTTGCCAGCTCATTTTATTGAGGTTTGGTATTTTGTTAAGTAACCTTCCTGTGCTTTTAGCTCACTCTGGAGAGACTGAAGAACTGTCAGAACCCTGCAAAGCTTCCAACAGAACCCCATTCTGCAAACAGAATCCTTTTAAGACCTGGTGAGTGGAACATAAAGGAAGCTGAAGTATCCACGGACCTGATGGCTTTGGAAAGAGAGAGCCTAAATTAGTTCACTACAAAGGTCAGGACCTTAACAGTAACTGAGAAGACTGTGGAAGATTTAAAGCATTCTGTCACTTGACATGTCTCCAGCTAAGTGTTAAAAATATCTGTAAACTCAGGAGACAGATGATCGGTGCAGCGCTTCATGGGTCCCAGCTGTAGCTCACTGGGTTCAATTGTCAACAGGAAGGTCAGCAGTTATGGTGCATTTGTGTCCAGTGGCCAGAATTTAAGCTTGAAGTAAAAAGTAAAAATCAACTGGAACACCCAAAACAGAATATTGACCCAAAAGTAATTTTTTTTAGTCATGCACTAAGCCTTGTTGCATATGAGAGTGCGTGTGAATGGGAACTAATTAGCAAAACACCGTGTATGAAGCATGATTTCAATCTTGATTAGATGCATTGAAACCATTTAGCCTGTTGATGCCTGGTGCCTAGTACCAGTCACACACACACACACACACACACACACACACGCACAAACACACACACACACACACACACACACACACACACACACACACACACACACACACACACACACACACACACACACACACCATAAAAAGTTCTACAACAAAACGTTTCTTTACACTGGTCTGCAGGATGGTTTATTATGAAAAATTATTGTAATTTCTTATAGTACTTTATGATAATAACAGTAGAGGGGTGCATACAATACTGTTTTATATGTGCAGTTTTTAAATTGTATGTTAAGATAAGATTAGATAAGACTTTATTGATCCCACAATAGGGACCTTTTTGCATCACCAAAGCTCAGATAGATAGCAAAGTGGTACAAAAATGTCCAAAAATGCAAAAATAAATAAATACATGTCACTTTATACAACAGTAGCTCCTATGTAGACACATGTAAGCATTAAGAAAGAGAGAAAGAAAGAAAGAAAGAAAGAAAGAAAGAAAGAAAGAAAGAGAGAAAGAAAGAAAGAAAGAAAGAAAGAAAGAGAGCAAGAAAAGAAAGAAAGCGAAAGAAAGAAACAAAGAAAGAAAGAAAGAAAGAAAGAGAGAGAGAAAGAAAGAAAGTGAGAGAGAGAGAAAGAAAGAAAGTGAGAGAGAGAGAAAGAGAGAAAGAAAGAAAGAAAGAAAGAGAGAGAGAAAGAAAGAGAGAAAGAAAGAGAGAAAGAGAGAAAGAAAAGAAAACTATCTTTTATAGAGCGCCTCTCAAGATAAAAATCACGAGGCGATTCACAAAAACAAAAAAATTTAAGTACAAAAAAGATTTCAAAAAATGATTTAAAATATGTTTAAAATGCAAAAAAAAAAATTTTTATTTGTGATTAGGGTTAGGACTCTTTGTGACACCGTGGGTGAGGAAGGTGGTGGAGGACCTAAACTTGGAGACGGCCACAGAGAAGGAACGCTGAGA